TTTTATATATCACGTTGTTACAGCTGTCCAGCTCACCGCATCCACCGCTAGATGGAATTTGACAGTGCTGCACCACCGTACTCACCTTGCTTGAGGACAGCGATGAGCGTGTCATTTTTAGGGTCGAGGTGCCACAGCGTGTAGCAGTAGTGCGTGCCCGACTCACAGCGCACGATGTCCTGATTAGGTATCTTGATGCCTGCAACTGCAAACCAAATACGCGATGATCAGATATAATAATTACATGCTTTAATCATGAGCCGACTACAGGTTACGCCCGCCCCCGTAAAATCGGCGATTTTATTCATACAAGGGTAGTCCTGCCGTCCTGTCGTTTCCGTGGATGAGCTATGTCGTAAATAAGCGACCTGCCATAAGACCTGGATTAATCAACGCGCTTAATTCCAGGCATGCACCTCGTAGCGAAATATATCATGCTCCGAATTGATATAGAGGACGACGTACGAGGCGTTCCTCATTTTTTAATGGGGCGTATTTCTCCGCGGAAAGAATGTTTGGTGACACCGACAGTTTTACATGGGCAGAATGTACGCCTGCAACGTGTCTACTTGTGGCTTCAGACAGCAAGCAATACTCCGTGTATAATGTTGCGTAGCTCGTTCGCTGTGCATCGTTTCATTTCAAATAATGAATACCTCTCTACTACCATAGATATAGAAGAAGATATACCTTCTTCTATATCTATGCTACTACCTAACTTTAACCAAATGTCATTACGCGTCGTGGTCACGTCTAGTCTAGTAGCAGGCGTTATACATGGCCTGGTGTAGCGCACCACACATGGCACACATGGCATAGTATCACTGATAGTATACCTGGCTCGGTCAGTTCACAGGCACTTGTCGCCAACCACATGTATCCCCCGTGTTCTCCCCAAGATGTGTAAGTATATGAAGTTTGGTCGCGCTAGGTCAATTAGGGACCGAGTTATAGAGCGGAAGGGAAAATTCTCATGGGCGGCAGGACCGACCAGCGAGGCGGCGGCGGCTGGGGAGACATGAAACGGGCATAAGTATCGCCGATACAAAAAAGGTAAATCCAAACACGAAATGTGATTTACTCGACAAAAGTGCTTATGTTTCTCTACTTATTTGCAGCGCTATAATCACCTGTAAATGCGGTCAAATGCTCATCTGCAACACACAAGTACACCGCACGCTAGCTGCTGCACACTGACATATAAATATATGTATAGTAAATACATTTCGTGTTTTTTTATTGAGCCGTTCCAAGTGCCTGTGGGTCAGTCCAGCTGGTTCTCACATACCAAGGCACATATATTCCCCGTTCATATGAGTACTTACAATGTTACCTTACCGATGCATGGCAAAACACAGCAATAAACGTTTATTGCCACCGCACAAAGCTACCGAACACTCAAAAAATGACTGCACGCCATTTTATGGACGGATCAAAACACCCTAAATTTGACGATATTTCTATTTCTTCCGATCTGTATTCCCTCAAGCTGCTACTACAGCTAAAAAGGAAAAGCTGGTGGGATTTGGCAGCAGATCGTAGAAACACGTCTACAGCTTGACCGGCGATCACGAAACCCAACTACGACAAAACTCACTACATGCCAAGTATGCACGTACATATTCCCTACTACTCGATCCAGTAAAAAATCTCAAGAGCGCACCGAATACACAAACGCAAACGCGTTCCGCAGCCTGAGTTCTGCCCGTTCTAATCCTACTCACACGTAACTCTTTGTGCTCGAGCTGTTTGCTCTATGCCAACTCATGATGGGCTCCCACGCGCACGACTGACTGCACAGTGTCACTTTTAGAACCGTACGACCTTTATAATCACACATGGAGTAATAAGCCACGTAACAATATAATCCGTTATAGCCACCGACGAATTGAGAATTTTTCGTCTTGCCTGCAAATGCACTATAACTACATCCCACGTGAAAGACAAGTAGAAGGTAACCAATGGAAAATTACATCGATGGACTGTGAAGGTCCAGATAAAACTAGTGCTGCTAAAAATTTGCTTGAGCGATGCAATGCTGGATAACCTTGCTTTTACTCTGTGCATTCTGCTGTAGAGTGTAATTTAATGACATCGCACTGGTGGACAACATTTATTTTTCTTAAATTTCCCAATTGAACATTAGCCTTCTTGACAGTCTACCATTAACATGGCATCCAGCATTATTTTTAGATAGACCAGGACCTAATTACAACTGCATAGTAATAATTATGAATCAATAAATTTTAAACCACACAATTAAGTTGTTTATTTTTAATAATGACTGGTGGGTGCTATTGCTTGTGTTGCCTCTTGCGGTGATGTTGAAAGGTGCGTTTTCTGATATTCTAATTTCCTCAGGCTTCATACCAGCTGCCTTTAACCGGTAAAATTATGAATGGTCCAAATAGTTACTATTCGTATTTTCACTCCTCGTACTTACGTCATTTACTCCTCGTCCGAGTTAAATCATGCATATACATTTATACGAAACCTTTTTAACAGTTAGATAGTAATTAGATGTAACTATAATGCCACTCATATTAAAAGCTCCTTGTCTGGAGCGAGCAAAAATTATACAAGCAACAGCACTACCCATAACAAACAACGAGCCTTTTTATAAAAAAAGCAATATTTGATTATATATTATTATTGTGTATAGGACAATAATTATTGTAATGTGGCATAAATAAACATTAATTGAACTGAATGCTAATATAATATTATGATAATTAATGTTCGAAATCTGGAGTGGATATTTTGTAAGTCAGCTATAGCACTGCAGCGTTAGAAGAGAATAAACAGTAAACTGTTAATACATCTCCTTTTTTTTAACAAGGCTGAAGGTAATACTATTACTAATACGGTAGCTATTGCCCATCAGTTTCTACTGGCCTAATCGTCTAGGCACTAGAATGGGATTAATTCCAAGCATTAATTACTAAGGGGGGTCCAAGCATTAATTACTAAGTATCAATTGGATAGAAAACCTACAAATTCGGGTTTCTTGTTGCCTCCAATGGTTATGGTGTATTTTTTTAGTTTACACGAATGGATTAACAGTTTGTTTTGAGAGCATACAACTATTACTTATACTTATTATAACAATTATTTATGACATACATAGTTATGCTGAAACTTGATCCGTTACGACCGCTTGAGAACGAAATGACCAACTGCCATTATTTGTCTAACATTTTAGCAGACTGAATTTTGAGTGACTGTCATTATATCGCTACTGGCGACCATTTTTGTTATCCCATCTGCAAATATGGGTTGCACAGATCATCTGAGCAGTATGTGGCACTGGCACGCATGGTCCCAATTCTGACTGAGGGAATCAGGGATATTGATCTGTCTGGCCTAAATGCAAAGGTACATGGTCTGCTGCTTTTAAGCTACGTATGCACTAGTAGACATGAAGTTGTTATTCAATCTAATAAATAATCATGTAAACAAAGTCCGTTTAGCTTCTAGAGACTGTACATGTACGCAATGAGATGCCACGAGGAAGTTATTTTTACCTGCTAGGATTCAGTGAAATCATCAACTAATGATACGCATATCATTGCACATGGATACATTACACCGGCAATGAGAGCAAAACGGAGTACATACATTCATCAACGCACGCCCCCCCCCCCACCTCAATATATACGCGCAGACAAATTATTCAGCAGCAATGCGCACCCAAACGAACTACAGTGTTCAGACTGTAGTATTCCCCATTGCCTTGCTCTGAAGCCATCACAGTTCACGGGCATACATACGTAAGGTACAAAAACACACATCCCCAACACACACGGACATACACATTTACACAGCGGCGCGCATTCGTGTATACGCACGCACACCCGCATCGCCAAGTGTATTATTCAGAATCGACTTCTAATTATCCACAGTTACTCACCAGAACATATATAATAAATGACACTGTTTTGGTCCGGACGGGTGACAGAGATTATTATATTGTGTGTGTCCTCCCACACGGAGGCATACGGAGAGTTGAGCGCACACGCACGCACGCACGCACACGCACGCACGCACGCACACGCACGCACGCACGCACACGCACGCACGCAGTCGCTGGGAAAGAATGGCCTGCAGCCAGACAGCGAGAGAGGCTGTCTAGCCGCAGCAGCTCCCAACACTCCTCCCCCTCCTCCCCCCTCCTCCGCCTCCGCGCTCTACTCGTGCCGGCTGCGCGCCAGAGAATGTTTTACAGTCAGTTATTGATCTAGGCTAGTGTTTTGCATGATGGCTGCCCGAAAATTGATAAAATTCATAGAGGTTTCGGCTCGTGCGAGCCTGGCCATTGATCAAGCAGACTCGTATTTTCAGCCAATGTACACACGCAAAAATCCTAGCTCATACTTTTTTGTTTGTTTTAAGGGATTACATCACCCCGGGAATTGACGACAATCTGCAGTACTGTGTGACGACAACCGAGCAACGTTGCCTACAGAGACAGCCACCCAGACAACACTGCCTACAGAGACAGCCACCCAGACAACACTGCCTACAGAGACAGCCACCCAGACAACACTGCCTACAGAGACAGCCACCCAGACAATCACTGCTACAGCGACAGCCATGCCAGACTAACACTGCCTACAGAGACACGCCACCACAGAAACACTGCCTCAGAGAGAACCACCCAGACAACATCGTGCCGTAAGAAACAGCCACGGCGAAGGATACACTGCCTACAGAAACAGCGCACGCCAGAGCACACCTGCCTACAGGACAACACGCCAGCCAACACTGCTACAGAGACAGCCACGCCAACAGAACTGCTACAGAGAGCAGCCACCCAGACAACACTGCTCACAGAGACAACCACCCGCAACACGCCACAGAACACCAGCAACGCTACAGAGACAGCGCACCCAGACAAACACATGCCTACAGCGACAGGCCGACCCAGACAACAACGTCCTACAGAGACAGCCACGCCAACAAACACTGCCTACAGAGACAGCCCACGCAGAACAACACTGCCTCAGAGAACAGACCCAGACCAACACGTGCCTACAGAAACAGCCATTCCAGACAACACTGCTACAGAGACAACCACCCTAGCCAACACTGCCTAGAGAGACACGCCACCCAGACAACACTGCCGTACAGAGACAGCCACCCAGACAAATGAACACACTGTCTACAGTCAGACCACCAGCAACCTGTACAGAGCAGCCCAAGACA